CCCACTAAATCTACTTTTTTTAACCCACTAAGATTCATGTGTTAATGAATTTTCCCTGTCTATGTCCTCTGCAAAGCAAAAATATTCATGAAGAAGAACACTATGGTGGTTGCGCCTCCAATAGAACTATATATGATCTCTAGCTCCACTCCATGGGCATGTCTTTTCTTTTTCCCTTCGTTGTCAAAATGCTAACACTTGGGCCACTGAAAAAAAAATAGTAATGCTGATACTGACGATATCTTACAATCATACCTTGTAATCCGGAAATGGTGCAGGTTGTTTCACATGTGGCTCTTCCTTTTCATTCTCCATTTCACATACATGACTAATTGCAGGTTCTCCAAGACATCAGAACAAAGGCTTTTATATAAACAAATAAAGTTGCACCTCAATAATATATCATTATCTGAACAATCCCTTCTCTTTGTTAAGGAACAAAACATTTATACTCCCTCAAAGAGCATATTACATAGTTCTGAAATTCATTTCAATGTGATCCTCTGTGCTTCATTTAGGTATGAATAGTGAACTGTCAACTGTCTTCCTGGTATATTTCTATGTTCTGCTATCCATTGCAATACTGGTCCAAATCTAGAGGAGGTGTCCAGGGCAGTAAAAGGCAGCCGCCGCTTCCCGCTTCTAGTATATTCTTTAAACTAGGAATCCACTCATATGGTTTGTATCATCTTCAGATGTTGAAGTTCAGATATCGTCTAGCTAAGACTTGAGTATTTCACAGGATGAACTGAAGAAGATTTAAAAGAACATGAAAGAGTTCATAGAAATGAGGGGGTTTTGCTGAATCTTTTTATATTACCCTAAATATCTTCATTTATTCCTTTTGAAATCTCTAAATGATAACCGTATAATTTTTTATGTTATCAGACAACTTTTCTTTTGATCATTTGATGATATCAGAATTGATCCAACCGCAGTTTCAAAAACCAAAAAAAAGTAGTAATACAACCGCTAATTCTTTGTTCTATTTTGCTTGTGGGTTCAACCCGTTAACGGTTTGAGGTCTGAAAATGCAACCCAATAACAATTGTTATCTTCTGCGTGGGTCTGCTATGTTTTTTTTAGTCTTGACTCTTGGTGGGTTGTAAACTAGGAACCATTTCTTGCGCATTAAATAAATTCTTCGATTCATGTATTGGTTTTCCTTTTTTTTCTTGCTTTTGCCTAATGAAATTTTGAGAAGTCAACATATGTTTTGATGCATAAATAAGAAAATGTTGTGAATAAGTGAATTCACTTATTGTTCTTTTCTAGCTAGAAACTCCGCTATGGTGTATCTTTTTTAGTACTAATAAACATGTGCGTGTATTGCAACAGCACATATTATTTCTTAGTCACTTCCGTCCATGCCAATGATAATGAGGTAATTAGTGTTGAATTTAATTGGGCCTGGCCCATGTAATGAACCACATTGGTTTCCTTGCTAAGCATGATCATCTATGCATTGCATCGTGAAAATCTCTATTGCAAAAACGTGGCAAATTTGTTCAGGGACATCAAAGGAATGTGGTATTTGCTGATACACACCGCTAGCCTAGAAATTTGTTCAGTATCATTATGAAAGTATGTACCTTTGCTGTAACACTCCACACCGATTAATTTATTAATTTCTCATAACTATTGAGAGAGAAAGATGGAGAAAATGACATTTTGCCTTTATCTTCAACATCCATCGGTTTAGAGTTCATTTGTCCCCCACCCCCCTCCTCTCTCTCAGTCATTCCCTATACTTTTGTCTCTCTCATATCTCCACCTCAATGCCTCTGGCACTCTGCCACATTAGGATATAATCTACAAAGTGGCCACCGGCCCCCTTCCGTCACACGGGATCGGCACGACGCCGCGTGTTGGAAGAGGCATGGAAGGGCCATGCCGCTATGCGCAGAGAGAAGCCTGAGGGAGGCCACGCCACCATGCGTGGAGAGGCGCAAAGGAGGGATTGTACAGCCGTGCGGGTAGAGGTGCAGGGGAGGGGTCGCGCTGTCGTGCACTGATCTATGATAGAGAGAGAAGGTTGATGTTCAGCCTGTTCGGGAGGCCGTATCGTATCGTGGATTATTTACTGCTGGCTGGTTTGGCGTGAGAGAAAAACACTGTTCCTGGCTGGAAATTTACGATCGTTTACAAGCATACGGTTTGTCGGGAGCAAAAGGAAGAACACAGGGCAAAAAAAAAGGTCATTTCTCCCACTTCTCTCTCCATAGATATTAGAACATAATGAATTAATCGATGCCTTAGATTCGCGCATTCATAATGCTACTAGACAAATTTCTGAGTTGATAGTGGGCGCGTTTGCTGGGCTGATCCCCCTCACATTTTACTGTTCATCAACCAGCCAAACAGTGTTTCTCTCTCACAACAACCAGCCAGTTTTAGCCAAGTTTCAGATCAGCGAACGGGGCCAGTGTGTATTACTAAGGTCTTGTTTAGTTGGCGAAATTTTTTAGGAAATTGTACTGTAGCACTTTCGTTTCATTGTTATTTGATAATTAGTGTCCAATCATAGTCTAATTAGGCTTAAAAGATTCGTCTCGTGAATTTTGTCTAAACTGTGTAATTAGTTTTATTTTTTATTTATATTTAATGCTTCATGCATGTGTTCAAAGATTCGATGTGACGAAAAATCTTGAAAAATTTTGTAAAATTTTGGGAACTAAACAGGCACTAAAATGTCACGTTTCTCGGATGTCCTTAAGCAAAACTTGCCTTGAGGAAAAGTAACTTTATGATCAACAAGCTGGCCTCTAACTGGCCTAGTTAATTAGACCCTAAGACTGTCTCCAACAATCGCGACCCAAAATACAAGACACATTCGTCATTTGGGTAGCGTTACAGGCAAATGATTCAATATCTATTTTGGGTCTTCTGCAACAAGAAGACCCAAAAGACACTACCGGAAACGTCAAATTTACCGAGTGTTTTTATGTTTGCCGAGTGTATTCTCTCGGGCACTCGGCAAACAAGATCTTTGCCGAGTGCTGTGCTAAAAACACTCGGCAAAAAAAACACTCGGTAAAGAGGAGGTTTGCCGAGTGTAAAAAAAACACTCGGCAAAGATGTGGTTTGCCGAGTGTTTTTTTTGACACTCGGCAAAGAAGTAAAATCTTTTTTCTAGGAAAGAATGAGAAGAAAAAAATGAAAAAAAAACTTTGCCGAGTGCCCAGATCCAGGACACTCGGCAAAGAAAGAAAATCTTTTTTCTGGGAAAGGAGAAGAAAAAAAACAAAAAAACTTTGCCGAGTGCCCAGATCTAGGACACTCGGCAAAGGAAAAAAAATTCTAGGAAAGAAGGAGAAGAAAAAAAATGAAAAAAAACTTTGCCGAGTGCCCAGATCTAGGACACTCGGCAAAGAAAAAAATGTTTTTTTAACCGGCCCCAGCGGACGCGCCCTACCCTTCTCCCCACTTGGCCCCTCCCTTCTCCCATGCAAGCTCGTCCGCGCCCCCTTCTCCGCTCGCGCCCGCACGCCCCCTCCCTTCTCCCCGTCGGCGGCCTCCCTCCCGGCCGGATCCGCGGCCCGACCACCTCTCTTTCCCCACCCCCCTCCCTTCTCCCTGCGCCCGTCCGCGACGCCTCCCTTCTCCTCCGCGCCACGTCGCCGCGCCCCCTTCCCGCGCCCACGTCCACCGCCCCTCCCTTCTCCCGTCGGCGGCCCCTCCCCTCCTGACCGGATCCGGCGGCAGCCCGGCCACCCCTCCTTCCCCCGGCCGCCCCCCCCTTCTCCCCGGCGCCACCCCCTCCACTCCTTCCCCAGATCTGGCGGCGGCCCCTCCCCTCCCGGATCCGGCGGCCACCCCTCCCCTCTCCCGGATCCGGCGGGTGGCATGTGGCGTGGCGGGTGGCGGGCGGCGTGGCGGGCAGGTGGCGTGGCGGCGGGCGGCGTCCGGTGTGGGGCTTGGTGGTGTGGTGGCTGTGGTGGGCGCGTGGCGTGGCGGTGTCCAGCGTGGGGCAGCGGGCGTGGCGGCGTGGTGGGCGGCAGCCGGTGGCAATTTGTTTTTTTTTATTTCTTGCGAAAAATATTTGCCGAGTGTTTTTTGGGCACTCGGCAATGTCTTTGCCGAGTGCTCGACGAAAAACACTCGGCAAAGTGAGTTTACCGATGAATTTTTTGCCGAGTGCCCTTTACCGAGGTGTTACACTCTGCAAAGTGTTTGCCGAGTGTATTCGTGGCTTTGCCGTGTGCCCTAGGCACACGACAAAGCTCGCGTTCCCGGTAGTGAGACAACCCTTTCTGGAATGGGTCTCCGGGAGAGATGATACTCAGATTTAGGTTATGCCTCTCCCGACACTCAAAATGGGTCTTCCATATAGGTACTCTATTGGAGGCTATAGGTATTGTGTTGGAGACTCATTTTGGATTTGGGTTCCGCAATTGGTCTCTCGTTGGAGACAGCCTAATGCGTTGAAAAATAGGTCGCAAGGACCACATCCGCATGATGTCCCATTTTACACTTATATATATGCTAATTAGTGTGTTAGCTTTTCCTTGGATATCACTAACACTTCATAATCACTAAAAGATGGCTGAGTTTAAAACAGGATTTTTCCTATAACTGGATGTCATCATATAATAAAAAAGAAGAGGATTTTTTCCAAACACAAGTAGAGCAGCTAGCAACATATATACAAGAAGCAGGAAGTAGGGAAAATGTAGTGATCAAATTAAAACTAAAACGTTCTGACAAAGCAGGTACACATATATAGTATATATCAGAGTAGTGCAAACTACTCGTGTCTAGCCACCTAGCTATAGGCCGGGCACAGATACATCACATCACATACATACAATAATCTTGATTATACAAACAACACTGAACGAGTAGTAGGCAAACACAAGGGTTAATTTACACCGGTGCATCTTCCTTCAATCCTTCTTTATATAGTTTAATTGCCAGCTGAATTGAAAGTTTGAAACCCAGCTCGGACAACAGTGGCCACAGCACCGAAGGAGCTCATCATCACAGTCGTCGTCCATCAATCAAGCAGCAGCAGGTCCTCCGCGACGACGAGGAACCGCGCGGCAGACGAGGGGCGTCTTCATCTCCATGGACAGGCGGAGGCACTCGGCGAGCCTGACGGGCTTGTTGGCCGGCGGTGGCAGCCACCGGTACTCCTGCAGGAGGCGTCCGAGCCAGAGCTGCGCGGTGGCGAGGCCCATCATCCGGCCAGGGCACACCCTGCGGCCGGACCCGAACGGCGCCAGCCTGAGGTCGGACCCCAGCACGCTCACCTCCTCCTCCGCGAACCTCTCCGGCCGGAACACCCAGGGGTCTCCCCAGATGGCCTCGTCGTGCGAGATGGCCCACATGTTCACCATGGCCGTCGTCCCCGCCGGCACCACGTGCTTGCCCACCCGCGCGTCCTGCACCGCCAGGCGCGCCCAGGAGAGGAGCGGGCCCGGCGGGTGCATCCGGAGCGTCTCCTTGAGGATCCACTGGAGGAAGCGCAGGCTCGGGACGTCGGAGTCGGTGATGGGACGGAGGCGGCCCACCGCTGCGTCCATCTCCTCCTGGGCCTTGGATTGGATGTCTGAGTGGAGCGACATGCGGGCCATGGCCCACTCCAGGAGTATCGCCACGACGTCCACGCCACGGAAGATCATCTCCTGCATATGCATTTGCAACATGGACAGGTGTACTAATCATAAGTTGTGCTTATAGATTTTTCTAATCTTAAGTTGAATGAATTATTGTAATCACGATGATAGCCATTAGTTGATAGTCATTGAAGATGGGCCAATTTTGATTGGCAATTGCATGTGTGCGCTCACAAAACCTTAAAGATAGAAAAGGAATTGACCCTACTGCACTGAAACATCTTTGTGAAAATAAAACTCAAGCTAAAGTTATTCCTCAGGTTCTCTCATCTCTAGTTTATCTGCAATCTTCGATATAACTAATGAGATGAATGTGCATAGGACACGCGCGTCATTGGTGATGAGATCATTAAAGCGTCATGTACACCGAAATTTGAAGTCACTATCACAACAGATCACATGATTTAACTACATCAGAATCTATTTCATCACCATACATACAGAATGCTCACCGGAAAAAAATTTGACTTTCAGAACAAAAGGCATAATTAGGAAATCTGCTAGCTTAGTCTAGAAAATTAGGGGTGAGGATTGCAGTTCCATAAACTAAAAGTTATGCATATAGAATAATATAGATAAGGATTTTATTTGCCTAGTATAAATTATTTATTTTAAAATAAAAATAGAGACCACGGTATGTACTCCCTCTATTTCAAATTATAAGACGTTTTGACATCTCTAAATACATATAGCTTTTGCTATGCACTTAGATATAAACTATATCCAGATACATAGTAAAAACAATATATCTAAAAAAGCTAAAACGTATTATAATTCGGAAGGGATGGAGTATTTCCTAATTATAGGATGCATATTTTTACGTCCACTTATTATCACCGCTTTATTTGTATCTCCCCGATATGCACCTATCAAACAAGCATGTTACACCACTCAAAAGTATACCACCAACAACTTAATAATTAAGTGTTACCCCAGTGTATCACTTTTTGCCAAAGAAGCAAGGATGCATAAGATGAAAAGATATAGAGCTCACTTACCCACAGCACAGCGATCACGTCAGAGTCCTCTAGCCTCTCCTCCTCTGGCAGCGAAAGCATGTAGCTGAGCAGGTCGTCCCTCTCGTGGTAGTCCCCTACCACCCTCCTCTCCTCAATGATCTTCCCAAAATACCCTCTAACCCTAGCTGCCAGCCCCCTGCACATGGGACCCACCCCCCAGAGGTCCATCAGCGGGCCCCATGGTGTCTTGTAGTAGTGGTCTCCTAGGTTGAACATGCCCACGAGCTCATACCCTTCCCTGACCATCTCACCCAGCTCCTCACTAACAACGACACCCTTGAGGCCCAGCACGCTGCCCGCCATGCTCTCTAGGGAGGCCCTCTGGAGCAAGGCTCTCATGGCCACCTCCCCGGACCTCTCCATCTGGTCAGCGACGCGCCTGACCATGTCGTCGGCGATGCGGCAGCGGAGGCCCCCGAGCGCGGCCATGCGGTGCGGGGAGAGCATGCCGGTGCCCGCGATGCGACGGAGACGACGCCAGTACTCGCCCGCGGGGGCGAAGCCAATGGCACGACAGAACATGAGCTCTCGTGCCACGCCCTTGGGCGGGCGGTCCACGAAAGCGGCGCCAGACAAGATCTCCCGTGCCGTGTCCGGGTGGCTGCTGATCACCACGGGGGTGGCGCCGAGGGTGAGCGACATGAGGCGGCGCGCGCCGTGCGCATCGGCCAGCGTGGCCAGGCGGCGGTGCATGAGTGGGCCGGACACAGCTGGCAGGGAGCCTACCAGCGGCCACCCTCGTGGCCCCGGGATGGTGGCGGTAGCGCCGGCATTCCTATGTGCATGGAGGGTGGTGGTGACCACGAATGGCAGTGTAACCGCCACCACGGCAAGGGAGAGAGACACGAGAGAGAAGAGCCACGAGGGCTGTGTGTTAGGGCTGATGGTGATGGCGAAGTGCACGAGGAAGACCATGTAGATCATGGTGGTGATTACTTCAGTCTTCATGGCGGTTATATATGCAGAGTTAACCTAAGTAAAATCTTTATTTTTATGTGTGTGTGAACTATGTGTAGTGATTAGTGACTAGTGCATAGCAGGTGCTATTATGAATTTATGGTTGCTAATGCAATTACTACTTAGATGGCTAGATGAGAAGACAAGAAGAGATGTGTTGAGCTAGTTGGTTGCTTGGATTGTAAGTTGGAAGAAGTGGGCACGAGGAGCATTGTTGGTGACAAAACGGTCTATTTATAGTGATGGAGGGGGCTTGCGGTTGGCTGGGAGAAAGTTTGTGCATTTTTGCTAGCTTGTAGTGCTTCCTCCTTTATTTAATTATTATAGGGTTCATTTTGTAGTGGCTAACAATAGGGCATAGGCATGCATGCATGTACTGGCTGGTAGCCTCGCTCTAAAGCTGCTGCTATTGGGTGTCTAGTGTTGCATGGCAGGCAGAAGTCGTACACGACATGTCCTGCTTATCTTTTGACAGAACAAGAAATAGAAAAAGGGAAAGAATAAGTGCCCCTCCCATTCAAAATGTGTACGTACTTGCTCTATGACGTTTTGGCTTTTCTTCTTTCTATAAATACATAGTTTTTCTATGTACTTAGATATACATTGGTGCACAGTAAAAATAATATATCTAGAAATACAAAATATTTTATAATTTGAAATTGATGGCGTATTATTTAGGACATCAACATGGTTTACAAAGTGGCCATGGTTTCTATGAAAATATGAATACCAAAGAAAGGTAATTAAGTATTTTAAATTATTTTTTATAGTAAACCTATTAACATCATGGCTTCTATTATTGTAAATCTATGTTTTCTTATATATTGATAGTCTAAGTTTATAAAGTTTGACGAACGGGAATGCAAAACAACATGTAATTTGAATAGTAGAGTATAAGAGACAACTCCACAGATGTTATTTTTAGGATTGTATGGTAAGTATTGCAAATTAATATTGAAGACAATAATGGCCCCTGCTTCTCTTGAACAACAGATAAATCGTTACTAAATGGCCACTTAAAAGTCAAACTTTGTAATTAATTAGAATATAACATTTTTCCTTATGAATTCACCCAATACTAGATCGATATATTTTGAAATTGATGAAGTCATCAAAGGTGATCCGCTATCGCAATGGGCACATGTCATCATACCACTGCAAGAATAATATATAGCTGAAATGAGTATCCATACTAAATTGGAGGTCAAAATCAGGCGGGCAGATTTCATCATAAATAATAAAAAATCTAACCAACCAAGCTACTCTTAGTTCTTGGGGTTCCCTTACTCCTTGCTGAAGATTAACATATGATATCAGTGATCTTTTTGTGTTTTAAACTTAGAATGCATATGTGTAAGATATGTCGTTGTATTTGATAAACCTTTCTAATTAGTGCTGAAGTGGAAGTAGTGCTTGGGTCTCCAAATCAGGTTGACAAATATCAATAGCAATAAATTATTTGAGTTCTGTGACTTGTGAGCCGTCACATAATAAGTTGAGGTTACTAAGTTTACACGTACTCCCTCTATTCCAATTCATAACACGTTTCGGGTTTTTCCAAGATACATAAATTTTACTATGTACTTAGATATACACTATATCTGGATACATGGTTAGTTAAAACGATGTATCTAGAAAAGTCAAACATCTTATAATTTAGAACGGAGAGAGTATGTGTAATATGAGATAATTTTATAGGCCACCTGGCCCTACCATCTCCTGTTCCCGCAAGTTTTTTGAACCGGCAAATATTTGTAATGACACAAATACCTGCCGAATATGAACCCAGCTGGAACATGAGTACAAGCTGACACAGGGACCATAAATAATCCATGTTTCTTGTCCTGAATAAATATGGATAAAATATGTATGTATTTAAACCTAAGCCACCTTGCGCCTAGGCTCCATTCCAGGCCTCCCGTCCCATTAAGAGCTCCCATTAAGAGCTTGTTTGGATTTTCTCCTCTAAATTTTAAAGCTCTAAACTTTAGAGCTAGAGCTCCGAACAAATTGTCTAAAGTTAGCTGTAAACTTTAGTCCACCCCACATTAAAACTCTATAGCTCATAAAGTGCTCTAAAGTTTTTAGAGGAGTGGATCCAAACAGACCCTAAGTATTGATCATCACTTATAGGAATGCAAAACTTTCTTCCCTTTTAACTTTTGTTGTCGGAATCCTTGATCAATTATATATGGACATCTTTTTGCGAAGAATTATATGGACATCTAAATGACTTCAAATGAAAAAAGAAAATCAACTACAAACCTGCAAATGTCAAAACCTATATTTTCCGTACAAAATTTCTCTCTATTATCTCAGTTCGTTTGAATAAGTTATAAATTTCTGGCTCAAATTACAAAAGCATGAAAGTATAAATACGAGCTATAGCATATGGATGATAATTATGGAAATATTTGTACCTATTAATATTTTTTTGCGCATACCTATTAATATTAGTATTACAAGCTAGCATGGGTAGTCACCAAGGTATCTTTTCAGTTGATAACACTATTGACGCTCATTGTTATGCCGATTCGTGTTATAATCCGGTAGTGATGCAAAATCTCTATTTTATCAGCACAAATGAGCTGGCTGGGATGAGCTAGTGTGTCTTAAGTGCGTTAATGGTAGTCCCAACTGCCAGCCAAGTTTGTAAAACCGCAGTTGATGTACATATGCACCACATATAACTCATTTGGCATTAATCCTTTGAACCTCTATGTTGTGTGGAGCCGATCACCGAAGGATGATCAAATCCCACGGATCCAACACTCACGCAGATTAGTGACTAGGATTAATCTTAATCGCTGTCTAATCAGATCGATTGTTGTAAACTCTGATTCACCCGTTCGGCAACCCTATCTCCGAATGGACACCAACGATTCTTGGCGTCAGTTCAACATGTATATAAACACAAGATCAATCAATGAAAGAGACACTTCATTCAATCTCTTGCTATCGTTGTTGCACATTTGGCACTTCAATCAATGAAAGAGTAATTGCACATTTGACTGTCCACTTTGCTCGTGAAATACAGGGCCTGACAAGAACGAAAGAGGAGGGGGAATTCACACACACACACAAAGATGAAGGAGGCGGAGTTCTATGAGAAAACACCCCAAATGTTAAACGAATCCTGGCCGTCCATTGTGATGACTAGACTCTTACTTGCAAATGGCTAAACATTACCGAAAGGTTGGATAAAACTTCACGTATTCCTGCTGCAACTTGCGACACTACTGATAAGATTAAGATGTACACAGTAACTTGTTTGGATATAGTTGACCTGATCGAGGATAATGCCATCGTCTCAAAAAAAAAAAAAATGGACATATGTCCGGTTAATAATGACTAGACCGGCTCGGCAATAGTTTCAGACTTTCAGTGATTTCAATGGAAATAGCATGGTAAATCTTCATCACACCAGTATGCAAGTGGTATAAATCATGCATGTAGGCATCTGTTATAGGATCTTAAAAGTAAAAACAGTGGATCTCCACCTTTGTAGTGTAGTGTGTGACTCGGAACATGAGCATTTGTACAGATCAATGGGAAAACATCTACACCAGGTGAATGAGATTGACAAATTCAAACCCATTTTTTACTACAAAAATACATCCTTGCAGCTCGCGAGATCAAATCCAGTCAATCAAGGTTGCCGAGGTCCTCGGTTTCACTCTGATCAAAGGAGAAAAGAACAGTCCCGTCGATAGTTTTTGTAACAGGAATTGGCCAAAGAAAAAAAAAGCAGCCTGCTGTGCTAAGTTGACTTCTTCAGAGAATGTACTATGTAACAACACAAAAAGTTCGTGTCGGTGTTTTCGGACCACCGACGAGTAAATTTGTATCTGCGCGTCTGGCTCGGATGGTGTGCTCGAAGGACACAAGGGTTTATACTGGTTCGAGCGGAACGTCTCTACATCCAGTTTGTTGCTGCTCGTGTTACCGCCACTTGGTTTGCAGTAGGGGTTACAAACGCGCGAGAGGGGATATGATCCCAAGTCTCTAGTGGAAGGAGTGAACGAGTGCTGAGAGTTCGATTGCTGCTCCGTCGTGTGTTCGTGTCGTGCTCTTGTGTTTTCTATCTCGTGGTTCGGTCTCATGCGGATCTGGATCCCTGGTAGGGGCGCCCTGCTTTGCTTTTTATAGGCGAAGGAAAAGCGCGGGTTACAGAGGAGGAAGAGGAGAAGAACGAGAGAGAGAAAAATGCTTCCAGGATCGCCGGGTCCTTCTCATTTATGCGGGTCCTGCCGATCCTGTAGATATCAACAGGGATGGCTCCACTTCGTGACCCTGTTCGTCACTGGCGCCATGCGCAGGCGTCATCTACAGGTCATGGCGTTCTATTTTGTCCCAGCGGACGTTGTGGTGAGCTGACGCCCCTGTTAGCGTTCGTACGAGGGTTAGACAGAACAGCACCGGCGCGCCCGACGCTGTTCTTGATGTGAATCCTCAGGTATGGCCCATCACGGCCATGGGTTACATCGAGTCGTGCTAGTTTCTTTCATGGTGTCAGAGTTTTGACCCTGGCCCATACGCTTGGACCTGGAGTGGTTGGCGGCGATATGGGTCCCCGTCGGACGAGACGGAACCCGCGTACTTGGGGTCGGACTAGACGGAGCCCGTACCCAAGGGTTAGGCGAGACGGAGCCCGCACCCAAGGGTCGGGCGAGACGGAGCCCACGTCCTTGGGGTCGGGCGAGACGGAGCCTACACCCGAGGGGTCGGGCGAGATGGAGCAGACACCCAAGGGGTCGGGTGAGACGGAGCCCGCAGCCTCGAGGTCGGGCGAGACGGAGCCTGCAGCCTTGGGGTCGGGCAAGACTTTTTAATACGTCTTGCTCCATCCGAGGAAGTCAGCGTGGGCGCTAACTTTCTTGCTTTGGGTACCCCTATTATCGATACCCGACAGTAGCCCCCGAGCCTGCGGAGGAGTAGAATATTACTTTGGAAGCTTTTCCGGATGGGAGGACTCTGAGGGCCTTGGCCTT